TTTTTGAGTCAGGGTCTCACTCTGTCACCCAGGCTACAGTGCAGTGGCACAATCAAAGTTCACCACAGCTTCAACCTCCTAGACTCAGATGATCTTTACACTTCAACCTCCTGAGTAGCTGGGACTACAGGCACGTACCACCATGTATAGCTTTTTTTTTTTTTTTTTGTAAACACAAGCTCTTGCTATGTTGCCTAGGCTAGTTTGAAATTCTTGGGATCAAACAATTCTCTCGCCTTAGCCTCCCAAAGTGCTAGGATTACAGGCATGAGCCACCATGGCTGGCCTGAGTCGATTTTTGTACATGGTGAGACACAGAGATCCAGTTTCATTCTTCTGCATATGGATATCCATGTATTTATCCAAGGAAATAAAAATGGTGTATCAAAGGGATGTCTGCACCTCCATATTTATTGCAGAACTATTCGCAACAGCAAATATATGGAATCAACCCAAGTATCCATCAAAGGACAAATTAAACGAAATGTGGCATATAAATACTATAGAATATTATTCAGCCATAAAAAAATTAAATCATGTTATATGCAACCACATGGATGCAACTGGAGGTCATTATGTAAAATGAAACAAACCAGCCACAAATATCACATGTTCTCACACGTGGAAGCTAAAAAAATTGCAGAGTAGAACAACTGATACTAGAGAATGGGAGCATGTGTCAGAGGATAAAGAAAGGTTCGTTAATGGATACAAACATACAGTCAGACAGATGGAGTAAGTTCTAATGTTCAATAGCAGAGTAGGTGACTATAGTTAACAACAATGTATTGTATATTTCAAAATAGCTATAAGTGAGAACTTGAAATGTTCCCAACACATTTAAATCACAGACAGACACACAGGGTGATACCCACAGTTCCATGGCTTGATCATTACATATTCTATGCATATAACAAAATATCACATATACCCCAAAATACATAAGTATGTCCAAATATTATGCATTAATTTTACAAATTAAAGACTTTTTGTTCTATAAAAGACCATATGAAGAGGATGAAAAGCTACAGACTGAGAGAAAATATTTGCTAGCCACATATCTGAGAAAGTATCTAAAATATATAAAAGACACCCAAAACACAATAGTAAAAAAACCAAACAATCTAATCAGAACATAGACAAAAAACACAAACAGAAATTTCACTGAAAAGGATTTATAGACAGTAAATAAGCACATGAAAAGATGTTCAACATCATTAGTCAATAAGGGAAATCCAATATCATAACACTGCATGCCTACTAGAATTGCCAAAATAAAAAAAAAAATAGCAATAATATCAAATGCTGACAAGGATGTGGAGGAATGTAAAATGGTACAGTTACTCTGGAAAGCTAAAACTATAATTTACAAAACTAAACATACAATGACAATACAACTCAGTAACTGCACTCCTGGGCATTTATCCCTAGGATAACGAAAATTTATGTTCACACAAAAACCTGTACAAGAATGTTCATAGCAGTTTTATTTGCAGTAGCCAAAAAAAAATGGAAACAACCCAAATCCCTATCAGCTGATTAATGGATACATAAAGCGTGTCATATAAATACCATGGAATACTCAGCAACTCAAAGGAACAAACTAAGTGATATACATAAAAATCTAGATGAATATCCAGAAAATCATGCTGAGTCCACATATACCACATTTTTGGAATGTCAAAACTTAAAAAATGAATATCAAATTAGCAGATGTTAGAAGTCATGGGCAGGTGGCCAGAGCAGGGCGGAATGAATAAGGTTATAAAAAGACAACAGCAGGAAAAGATCCTGTTGGTGATAAAACTATTAGGTATCTTGAGTGTGGTGGAGGATACAGGAACCAACACGTGTAATAAAGTGTATAGAACTGAATACACACTCACAGAAATGAATACTAGTAAAATTGAGGAAATCTGAATAGAATGGTGCACTGTATCAATATTCATATCCTAGTTGTAACATTGTACTATCGTTTTACAAGATGTTTTCCTTGAGGGAAACTTGGATAAATGGTACCTGGGATCTCTGTGTACTATTTCTTACAACTGCATGTGAATCTGCAATTATCTCAGTAAAAACTTCAATTAAAAATAAAAGAATACTTAATACAGATGCACATTCTCCTGGAAGAAACCCTATGAGAATAGTGAAGCCAGTCTTAAGAACACAGTAGCAGAAGTATAACCACTACAGAGCAATCTAAAAGTAGAAAGTCAGTCGGGTGCAGTGGCCCGACTTTGGGAGGCTAAGGTGAGACGATTGACTGAGCCTGTGGGTTCGAGACTAGCCCTGGCAACTTGGTGAGACCTCATCTCTACAACAAATAAAATTTTTTAAAAATTAGCTGGACATGGTGGCGCGTGCCTGCAGGTCTAGCTACTTGGAAGGCCGAGGTGGAAGGATTGCCTGAGTCCAGCAGGTCAAGGCTGTAGTAGCCGGGAATGTGTCACTGCCCTCCAGCCTGGGTGACAGAGTAAGACTCCAACTCAAAAAATAAAAATAAAATAAAAGTAGAAAGTCTATGAAAGTCCCCCTTCATGTTCATGTTTCTGAGAGGTTTTAATACTGATCACAGAAAGACATTAACCCAAGACAAGGTTACAAGGTTCCAAGATCTCAGGTATATAAAAGGATACATCTAATGGACTAAGAGATTAATTTGTGCTAAAACTATATCCTAAATGATGTTATTTCTAAAAGGATACTCTAAAGTTGTGATTCGAAAAAAAATTCTCCTAGATTTAATGCATCTGCAAGAAGCAGAAATTCATGTTTTATCATTCATTCATACATTTGATAAATGTTCAAGCAACACCTGCTCTGAACAGGCCTGGACTGGGGAAAGGTTACTCCAGCACTATACACCACCCCACCACCTGGTCTTCAGCCTGCTCTCAATCATCTTTCCAAGGAGGAGAGAAGATCAGATAAAACAGAAAATGACAGCAAACTTTACTGAAACCAAGAGACAGCTTCTGATTCAATATAATTAAGTCTAATGCTTTTTGGATTTATCTACAGAAGGTCTAGTATTGTGATAGCGGTATGACAAATTAAAAATTTTAGTTTTATATTCATAGTAGTTATCATCACAGTAACTAAGCATTTCAAAAAACTATAAAAAATGTAAATAATGAACAATGAGTTATATACCTTTCCTAAACCACCCCAGAAACAAAAATGTTGCCAGGTGTGGCGGCTCACACCTATAATCCTAGCACTTTGGAAGGCAGAGGTAAGAAGATTACCTTAGCCCACGGGTTTGAGACTAGCTCGGGCAACATGGCAAGACCTTATCTACAATAAATTTAAAAAGTACCCAGGCTCAGTGGCTCAGCCTGTAATCTCACACTTTGGGAGGCCAAAGTGAATGAATTGCCTGGGCCCATGGGTTCAAGATCTGCCTGGGCAACTTGGTGAGACCTCATTTCTACAATAAATCAAAAATTAGCCGGGCGTGGTAGCGCATGCCTGTAGTTCCAGCTACTTGGAAGGCTGAATGGAAGGATCGCCCAGGCCCAGCAGGTCGAGTCTGCGGTGGTCGGGGGCAGCCACTGCACTCCAGTCTGGGCAACAGAGTGAGACTCCAACTCAAAAAATAAAAAAGTAGCTGGGTGAGGCAACACACACCTATAGTTCCAGCTACTTGGAAGGCTGAAGTGGAAGAAATGCCTGAGTTCAGCAGGTCAAGGTTGCAGTGGCCATGAGCTTGCCACTGCACTCCAGCCTGGGCAACAGAGTGAGATTCCAACTCTAAAAAAAGCAAAAAAAAAAGTTGGTCTTAAAACAAACTCGATGAGGGCATAAAGAGACTGGCTGTCTCTCTCTGAATCATTTTTTAGTATATGCCCCCCTTCAATGACACATAATCCATGACATTCCCCAACAAACTCAAAGTACTTTATACTTTGTAAAGCAGCCATAATGGATGTCTGCAAAATTCCCGTTTTTTGTTTGTTTGTTTGTTTGTTTGTTTGTTTGTTTGTTTGAGATGGAGTCTCATTCTGTCACCCAGACTGGAGTGCAGTGGCTGCTCCCGGCCACTGCAGCCTCGACCTGCTGGGCTCCGACGATCCTTCACCTCATCCTTCCAAGTAGCTGGAACTACAGGCGCGCGCTACCACGCCCAGCTAATTTTTTGATTTATTGTAGAGATGAGGTCTCGCCAAGTTGCCCAGGCGGGTCTCGAACCCTCGGGCTCAGGCAATCCACTCACCTCAGCCTCCCAAAGCGCAGGATTACAGGCTGAGCCACCGAGCCCGGCTCCAAAATTCCCTTTTAAGAATCTGATCCGGCAGGGTTCTGTGGCTCAGTTTGTAATCCCAGCACTTTGGAAGGTAGAGGCAAGTGGATTGTCTGAGCCTGTGGGTTCAAGACCAGCCTGGGAAACTTGGCGAGACCTCATCTCTACAATGAAAATCAAAAAATTAACCAGGAGTGGTAGCGTGCACCTGTAGTTCCAGCTACTTGGAAGGCTGAGGTGAAAGGAATGCCAGAGCCTAGCAAGTTGATGCTGGGGTGGCCGTGAGTATGCCACTGCATTCCAGCCTATGCAACAGAGTGAGACTCTAACTCAGGAAAAAAAAAAAGTCTGTTCCATTATTCCTCTCAAGTCAAATGAATTGTTTCCAAAAGGAAAGATCCAATTCTCAATAAAGGAACTTGTAATAGAAGCTCAGATGACATCTTTATACTCTCATGGAGGGTAAAGCAGAGTAAGTAAACCATATAAATTAAACTGAGTTAGGATTATACACCTATTGTGTACACTTTACCCTCCAACTGCTAACATGATTCTTTGATGTCTGTCACCAAATATTAAATCAAGATTTGCGATTCTTACATACATAAATTGGACTATTTTCTATCTACTTACTTTCTAAGACTATTTACTCTTAGCTATAAAATTACAATCAACTGTCTTAATACAAAAAAATAAGTACAGTATGTTCTCTCAAAATAACATCTTCCTAGAGCCAAGTACAAATTGAACTTACCACTTTTTTAAAATCATCTTCTGCTTCGTCAAGTTTTCCTTGTTTGAGTAATAAGTGACCTCTTTGTAATCTTGCCTATAAAAAAAGGGGGATATCCTGAGTATTATAAATTTCTAAATTTCTGTAAACACAAAGAATAAAACTAAATAAGCTAACTGGAGTATTTAATGCTTATTTTTCCAACGCCTATTTGACTTTGCATTGAGAATAATTTCTGGAACCAATGAATGCATATAATTTTTGTTAAAGCATGCTTCCTTAAAAATACTTTTTGTAGCCTTGCATAGTAGCTCATGCCTGTAATCCCAGCACTTGAGGAGCCGAGGCAGGAGGATTGCTTCAGCCCAGGAGTTCGAGATCACCATAGGCAATATAGTGAAACCTCGTCAATACAAAAAATTTAAAAATTAACCAGACATGGTGGCACATGCCTCTGTAGTCACAGCTACTCGGGATGCTGAGGTGGAAGAAAAACTTGGGCCTAGGAGGCCAAGGCTGCCATGAGTCATGATCACTGTGATCGTGCCGCTACACTCCAGCCTGAGCAACAGAGTAAGACCTCACACTCAAAAAAAAAAACAAAAAACCTTTTGCTCTACCCCCAAAAATTAAAAACATATGTCTACACAAAAAGTTATGAACCTATGTTCATAGCAATAGCCCAAAAGTGAAAACAACCCAAATTCCCATCAACTAATAAATCAATAATCAAATATCTATTGATACAATGAAATATTATTTGGTCATAAAAAGGATTATGTCATTACATGTTGGTATGTACTACAACATGAATGAACCTTGAAAACATTATGCTCAGTAAAAAAAAAAGTCAGACATAAAAAGTCAATTATTATATTATTTTATTTATAGGAAATATCCCAAACAGGCCAATTCATGACAACTGGTTGCCTAGGCTAAGGTAGAAATTGGGAGTGAGTGCTAATAGGTACAGGGCTTCTTTTGGGAATGACAAAAATGTCCTGGAACTAGGCAATGGTGACAACTGCACAACCTTGCAAAGATACTAAAAACCACTGAATACTTTAAGAGGGTAAATATGATGGCATATGAATCAATTTTTAAAACTATTTTTGCCATTTTAATAACTTTTTGTCCTATAAGAGAAGTTATATAATTTGGAACTTTATCAATGCCTCTTTCCTTTTAACATGCATCAGTTTCACCCCCTTTATCTCTGACACTCTTCTTCTAATTTATGTAATCTCATTTCTTCCAAGAATATCAACTATGTGATGACCAACAATTACCAGAAAACAGAAACCACATTGATAATCCACTTAAACTTATATGTATTACTTTTTAGTACATAAAATTTTCCTAATCCTCTGTTAGATGCATCAATACACATAAAAAGCAAGATTAAAGCCACTTCAACTAGCTAACAACTAACATAACACTACGAAAAGAAATCATTTAACCTTTGTAAAAGATAGTGCTTGCTTAGCTGTGTAAAGTAAATTCAAAAAATATTTGAAATTTGGGAATTCCATATTAAAATAATAGTAATATTTCAAATCAAACATTCACCCCACATCTAATCAATCATCTCAAATCCTTTTTTGACTACAGCAGGAAATAAATGATAAATGGTTACAAAAATAATTTCAAAGCCATCTAACTGGTCAACAGTTCTGTCAGTTCTATCTCCCAAATCCCCACTTCTGTCCTACCTCTTGAGTCCCCTGTGCATACCTCTGTCACAGCTCTTACAGTAACCTGCCAGTTGTCAGGATATTCCATTAGACTACAAGTTTCTCCACCCCTGAAACTTGTTTGCTGGTTCCAGGAGATGACCCTGCTAATTCAGCACTTCCCCCCTCACAAGCTGTTGCACAACTGAGCCCTCCCCCTTTTTTTTTTTTTGAGTTGGAGTCTCATTCTGTCACTCAGACTGGAGTGCAGTGGCCACTCCCGGCCCCCGCAGCCTTGACCTGCTGGGCTCCGGTGATCCTTCTGCCTCAGCCTTCCAAGTAGCTGGAACTACAGGCACGCGCTACTACGCCCGGCTAATTTTTTGATTTATTGTAGAGATGAGGTCTCGCCAAGTTGCCCAGGTGGGTCTCGAACCTGCGGACTCCCAAAGCACAGATTACAGGCTGAGCTACCGAGCCCAACTGAGCCCTCCCTCTTTATGCTTTCTGCTACAGCCTTAAATGAAACTGTTGTCAGTCACTTGACAGCCTCTTAATTCAGTCTCTTAATCAACTCATGTCTCAGCCTCATCTCTTGCCCTACGTACAATCCACCTTCCACACAGATTTGTCTTTCTAAACCACAAAGCTAACACCACTGCCAGGCTTCTGAAAAAAAGCACCTAACATATCCACTGTTCTTCCATGCAGACCTTTGATTCTAGAGACTTTTAATTTCTCTTGTTTTCCAGTCCACTATATCCCAGTAGTTTTGATATCCTCTAGCATGCCAGTCCTCACTTTATGAAACTAATTACTTCTCCCAAGTTCTCCCTTAAAGAAAGTTTAGATACACTTACTGCAGTGAAATCCATCTTCAACTCAATCACTTTAGTTAAGTCAGGAAGTGCTGCTTTTGATTTGCCCATAGCTAAAAAGACAGTAGCTCTCCGATAGTAAGCAATATAGTTATCAGGGTCACCATCTGAAAATTAAAATAATATTAGCTCTTAGCAATTTACTCAAAAAAAAAAAAAAAGAACAAATCACCTGAACTGTGTTCAAGTTTTTTACAATTCTATGAAGGAAGGCATTAAGAAAAGAATTTCTTCATCAAAACAGAATCACGTTGCCAGGCAAGATCACTACAAATAAATCTAAAATAGGGGTCAGCATACTATAACCCCTGAGTCAAATTCAACCCAGACTTTAGTTAAAAATGCTTTTTACATTTTTTAAAAGTTGCCTGCTCTGACAGGAAAACTATAAAAATTTTTAAAAACTAAAAGGAAAAAAGTTGCCAAGAAAAATGTAAGACTGTATGGCTACAAAGCCTAAAACGTTTATCCAACCCTTTGAAAATAGTTTATAAACCCCCGGTCTAGAATATAGACTATATTCAACCATAACTTTTAAATATGCAATACAGTCTTTGTCTCTGCTGAGATTTTCTTACGTGAAATACTAATTGAGAATGTGAACTATGTACTCATTTACTGGGTTTTAGAAATTTAGGCTTTCGACTAAATAGATATATTGAATGAGCAATCTCTGCTCCCTCACAAACTCCAACTAAACTAGCAGTGAAGAAATAAAGATAGAACATAAGGACAAAGGAGAAGAACGAAAAGTAGAGTGAGACTAGAGACAGAAACAAGAGAAGTTAACACATGAAAGGAAAGCAGATGAAAGACTTAGGTTTTTGAGCCAATTCCACTCTGCTTGGCACCTACAAATAGAAAAAGGAGTGAATTCAATTAGAAGCAAATCTTGTGCTGCAGAACAATCCCTTTAGAAAGCAATTTGGAAATCCACGCATATCAAGAATTTTAAGACTGATCTTGATGACATCCAGTCATCCAACTTAAAAAAGAAAATATTTTTATACTCAGATGTTTATCATTACAAGATTAAAACTCCCTAAAAGTTCTACCCCTGAAGGTCTTATAATTTAGAAAACATTACCTCAGGGGACTCTTTATAGCAGGACAGTACATAATCATTTAAAATTATGGTTTTCAACAGTTGTTAATAATATTGAAAACTACCTGAGACACTACCAAAGGAAAGTGGGGCAGAAGAGATTAGGTTATAAAATCAAATATAAAAGAAGACATACAAATAGCCAATAAAAACACATGAAAAGATGCAAAAGACACTCACTATCACTAACCATTAAGGAAATGCAAACGAAAACCACAGATACCACTTTACAACCATAGGATGGCTAGAAGAAAAATAGAAAACAACAAGTGTTGACAACGATGTGTTGAAACTTGAGTCTTTGTGCCCCGTTAGCGGGAATGTAAAATGGTACAATCGTGAAAAACAGTATGATGACTTCTCAAAAAATTAACCACAGAATTATCATATGATCCAGCAATTCCACTCCTACATATATATTCAAAAAAATTGAAATCAACACTCAAACATATATTTGAACACCCATGTTTTAGCAGTATTATTCACAATAGCCCAACGGTAGAAACAACTCAAATGTCTATCAGTAGATGAATGAACAAACAAAATGTGGCATATACTGTACATATAATAGAATATTATTCAGTCTTATAGAGAAATGAAATTTTAACGCATGCTACAACATGGATGAACCTTGAAAACATTATGCTAAGTAAAATAAGCCAAGACACAAAGGGAAAAATGTTTTATGATTCCACTCTATGAGTCAAACTCATAGAGACAGAAGCAAAACAGTGGTTGGGTAAGTATTGTTTACGGTACACAGACTTTCAGTTTGGGATGAAGAAAAAGTTCTGGGGATGGGTTGTGGTGATGATTGTACAATAACGTGAACAAACAATGCCAAGTGATTTTTTTAAATGACTAAAATGGTAAATTCTATTAACATATATTTTACCACAATCAAAAGAATGAGGCAGTCAGAAAAAAAGTACTTTCTGAAAGACGAATTGGGCATTATAATAAAAACTCTGTTTTCTTAAATCTAAAAATAAAACTATATGATCTCAGCCGGGCTTGGTGGCTCAGCCTGTAATCCCAGCACTTTGGGAGGCTGAGGTGAGTGGATT